GCAGACATTTCCAGAAGGACACAATAACAAAGCGTCTCGCAGCCCCTTGGTAAGACTTAACCAATTCTATTTGGCTGAAGCTTCGCGCTGGCTGTTCGTAAAAGCGAATGCAAAACACAACTACCTGAAGTGCGTAACACTGGGTAGTCCTGGCTGCCTCAGGGACACTTTAGACACGTACATATATAATATAGAACGAAAGTGACCCCTTATTTGAAGTTAAAATCGACATCTCAAGGAAATGGGTTATGGTTAGGATAGCCCACATGCCAATCTCCAATATACTCCATGCTTTTAAAATCAGGAAGGAAGGACTCCCTTTCCATCCAAGAGCAGTGTGAAATGGTCCACCTGATAACTTCGTTCCTATGTCAGCTATGGTGTTTTACCTACTTGGCTGAACAGCTGTGGAAATAAAACGAACAGAGCATGATTACAAACAGCAAAAATCCAAGAAAACAACAAACTGCTCCTTGTTTTTGTAGTTTAGTTATTAAGTCGTGTCCGACATTTTGTGACCCAATGCACCAGAGCACGCCAGGCCCTCCTGTCCTCCATTGCCTCCCGGAGTTGGGTCAAATTCGTGTTGGGAGCTTCGATGACACTGTCCAGCCATCTCATCCTCTGTCGTCCCCTTCTCCTCCTGCCTTCACACTTTCCTCTTCTCTTCTCATGAGATGGCCAGAGTATTAGAGCCTCAGCTTCAAGATCTGTCCTTCCAGTGAACACTCAGGGTTGATTTCCTTCAAAATTTATAGGTTTGTTCTCTTTGCAGTCCAGGGGACTCCCAAGAGTCTCCTCCAGCACCACAATTCAAAACCATCAATTCTTTGGATTACTGTGATGTTGCAAGGTCTGCCTTGGATTTGTATTGAAATCATTCTATCATTTTTGAGTTTGTATCCCAGTACAGCTTTTCCCACTTGTTTGTTGACTATGAGGGCTACTCCATTTCTTCTACGGAATTCTTGCCCTCTGTAGTAGATATGATAATTGTCTGAATTGAGTTCGCGCATTCCCATCCATTTTAATTCACTGGCACCCAAGATGTCAATGTTTATTCTTGCCATCTCCTGTTTGGCCACCTCCAGCTTCCCAAGGTTCATAGATCTTACATTCCTAGTTCCTGTGCAGTATTCTTCTTTGCAGCATCAGACTTTCCTTTCACTTCCAGGCACGTTTGCAGCTGAGCGTCCTTTCGCCTTTGGCCCAACCACTTCATTAGCTCTGGAGCTACATGTCCTTGTCCTCCGCTCTTCCTCAGTAGAATGTTGGATGCCTTCTGACTTGAGGGGCTCATCTTCCAGCATCATATCTTTAAGCCTTTTGTTTCTGTCCATGGAGTTTTCTTGGCGAAGATACTGGAGTGGCTTGCCAGTTCTTACTCCAGGTGGATTGCATTCAGTCAGAACTCTCCACTATGACCTGTCCATCTTGGTTGTTCCTGCACGGCATAGCTCATAGCTTCTCTGAATTACTCAAGCACCTTCGCCACGACAAGGCAGCAATCCGTGAAGGGGTTCCTAGTTACGTGGCTGCTTTTTGTTGAGAAGAGCCTTAATTCATCTTGATTTAAGTACACATGGGTATACTGTATAGACACATATAGAGAGAGAATGACTTAATTGATACTATTGTACTTTGGACATACCATGAGAAGACAAAACTCACTCAATAATGCCAGAAAATGTTGAAAAAAGGAAGAGCCCGGCTGGAAAGCCAGCAGTGCAGGCAGACCCAGCGGCGGGAGGCAGGAGCCCTGGAAATTCAAATGGCCTCCTGGCCAGGCTCCTGCCTCCTAGTGTGGGGGTCTGTCCGTGCTGCTTGCTTCCCAGCTGGGCTCTGGAAGGCAGAACCCAGCTGGGAAGCGAGCAGTGGGGATGGACCCCGCAACAGGATGCAGGAGCTTGGGAAATTCAAATGGCCTTCCAACCAGTCTCCTGCCTCCTGGCATGAGGTCTATCCCCAATGCTTGCTTCGTGGCCAGGTTCTGGGAGGCAGAGCCCACCTGGGAAGTGAGCAGTGGGGACGGACCCCACACCAGGTGGCAGGAACCCGGGAAATTCAAATGGCCTCCCAGCCAGGCTCAAGTCTCCTGACGCTAGGCCACCCTGACGCATCCCTTTCCCAAACTGTTGGGGTGAAAGATCTATAAAGAAGCAGCCTCTTCACCACCAACGGTTTGAATTTCCCGCCCCT